GTGAAAAAAATACAAGTTTTATGCAAATGACTTATGTCATAGCATAAATTGCTGTTACTTTCTTTAGATTTGTGTCACTAATTTTTTTCCAGAAAGGTACCATTCTTTTCTTTAGTGCTGTGAAGTGTGAATTCTATTTAATTTGTTAAATGTTGTTTCAGTATTTTAACTCAGTGTGGTTGAGCTTAAGGCACTGGAGTTGGTGGGCTTTGAGAAGTATATGTAGGAAGAAATAATTTGCACTTTAATTAAATGTGCAGATAGGTTAAGACACTTGGTTACAAATGTCCCTTCTCTAATCATGGAACAAAACTTTTTTTCCAAAATTTGTTTCGCTCTGGTTAAGCCTGGGCTGGAGAAACTATAATGGTTGCACATTTGATTTTATGTTTATTGCAGCCCTCTTGAGATAACACCAAAATACTGGAATATATTCATTCTGTAGTTATACATGTGTAATTTCACTGCATAAATAGCAGTTAGACATGAGATTTCTGAAGAGGCTTTTCCCCCCAGAGAAGTATGGTACGTCTAGACAATTATGTTTCACTTCAGAGCTGGAATATGTTTTTGCAATTTTATGAGTGTACAAGCACTAACATATATCAGTATTTCCCCAATTATGGTGTTCTGTATTCACTTCCAACTGTGTTTTTTGGGGAGACGGGGTGGGTTTTGTCATGTTTTAAAGTAAATTATTTATACATTTAAAAACAAACAACTTTTTCTTGAATTGTCCTTGTTTGTAGACCTCCTCTAAGTTTTCTGGTAACTACAGACTGATTTTGTAAAAAGGAACATAATCATACAAGTTTTTCAAGGATATACATGTTTGCATAAAGCAAAATACATTTAAGACCACACATGTGAAGTTAACATACACCATTTGTTTGCTTATTAGGACCCAAAAATCTTCTATTCAGTTAAATAAAAACTCCATAGCTGACTGAGAACTGGTCTGCACTGGAAGGAGATGGAACATCTATTTTTACATCTGTTACATCTATTTTTACATCTATTTTGACTTGTGTAATGAATCTCTGGGTTTTTGCAAGAAAAAACAATTCTGTTCAGTGGTTAAAATAAAGGAGGATTCATTATGAGTTTAGCTTAGATTTCCCTCCGTTTAAAAATAATGGCCAGAATTTTCAGATTTGAATGTTAGGCTGTTAAATTTATATGTAAGTGCCTAATAAATGAATTGAACTAGGTGCCATGTCATGGTTTTAAGTCCAGCTTCAGCAAATTGGTAAAAAATACTAATATAGTTTCACAGGTGGTTGTGAGGAAATACACCATATTAACCTGACGTTTTGTAGTTATAATACAGAAGTTACCAGATAAACTGAAGTTGTAGTGTGGATTTTACAGTGGTTGCTACGAAAATGAAACTTACTCCTTCCACCGAATTTTGCACTGAAACCTTCACACTTTAACCTACCTGTTTTTCTTTTATACTATTTCCTGCATAGAGTAATCAGCATTGGTCTAGCTTACACTCAGATGTGGTCTGGACTATGGTGCTGTATTTTTTAACATAAGCTTTTTGTGTCTCTTCTTGAATTTAAAGCATTCCCAAATACCTGATTCAAATTTGTTATTCAATCTAAATGATATAGTAATACAAACCAAACAATTATATTTTGATGAAAAAAAGAATTATGTTTAGACATACAAGAGTCCCGATTCACAAAACATATATGTTGGCATTGACTAATGTAAATTGGTTTGTGATTAATACAAAAAAAAAAGGCAATTCAGATTAAGATTTATCCCTCCCCCAAATGGTTTAAAATACTAACATTCAAACTTCAAACCTTTTTGACAGGTTTGTGACAACATTGTGGGTTAGGGACCTGAGATTCATAACAGCTTAGTTTTCTTGACTATCATTCTAAATACCCAAAGTGAGTTCATTGGTGGTTTGGTTTTGTGGTTTCTTTGTTTGGGGTTTTTTCCTTTTTTGTTTTGGTTTGTATTATTTTTTTTCACAAGGGACAGTAGATTGTGGTGGAGGAAGAAAGTGGGATTTACATAAATACTTATACCTCCCTGAACAATAAAGTGGAGATATCAGGAGTTGTTGTATATTTGGCTTTGGTTCAAGAAGAATATTTCTAGGTTATGAAATATTTGAAAATTATGCATGTGCAAGAGATCTCTCATTCTTAAGGTGCTGGAGAGGAAAATGAAGAAAATGTGTATTTGCATTTCTGTTGTCTTTTATGTCACTACTTTTTCAGAACAAAGCACATTTATTAAAAAACATCTGAAAAACTGAAAACATTTTAAAAAATTCTTTGGGGTGGAGATATTGTCTTTTCTTTCTGGACAATCTGCTCATGCTGAAATCCAGTGAAATCAATGCAGAGTTATTTTCCTTATCATCAAGAAAATAGTTGTCTTGTAGAGATGTTAAATTTGGTACTTCAGTTTCAGCTTCTACATCTCAGTTGAAGTTTTTGCTTTTTAGAAGGGCTTTTGGAGTTCCTCCAGTTGATCCTGTATCATGTTTCTTTGCTTGCCCACTTAGGATGTGACTGACCTCTTTCTAATTCAGTTACTCTCATCTCTCACTACATGTTCTTAATTTCTTCTCTATCTCTCTGAAATATTTTTGTAGCACCTGTTGTAGGTTGCCCCTTTGAGGTCATTGCTGTACTTTTCTACATCTTGATTCCGAGTACTGGAGGTGTTGAGAAAAGGATGGCAATGGCAAAAGAAAGCCAGAGAACTGAAAATTCAAGGCTCCTTCTCAGATCCAGATTGTGGGAAGATTCAATTTCAGCAGATCTGAAGTGTGTCCCCAGCACGGCAGAGCCTCGCTAGTATATTCTGGTCTTCTGCTTGACAGTGAATCAGTAAATAGCATCTCACAGCTGTGCTCAGTACTGCTTCCTTGCAGAACCTTTCTGTCCTTTTCTGCTTCAGGGAGTCTTGCTGACATGCTTTAAAAGTGTGATCATTCTAAGGCTTTTAATCATATCTCCATGAATCAGCAGCAGGTTTTCTGCTTGTTTTTCTTTGTTTCCTCAGTTTTTCTCAATTGTTTTGGACCTGTAGAATAGCAAGAAGATTTTTTAGAAAGGTTTGATTTCACAGAAACTTTACTGACTATGTCCAGACAGTTCTTGAGTATCGCCAGTGAGGGAGACTCCACAACCTTGCTGGGCAACCTGTTCCAGTGTGCATTAACATGCACAATGAAGAAGTTCTTCCTCATATTCAGGTGGAACTTCCTGTTCATCAGTGGTTGGTACCTCCACAGGGAGCCTGGGTCCCTCCTCTTGGCACCTTCCCCTTTAGATATTTATACACGTTGATGAGGTCACTTCTCAGTCATCTCTTTTTGAGGCTGAATAGGCCCAACTCCCACAGCCTGTCCTTGTAAGGGAGGTACTCCATCCTGTAGTCATCCGTTGTTGTCCTCCGCTGGACCCACTCCAGGAGCTCCATGTCGCTTCCTCTGAGGAGCCCAGAACTGGGCACAGTAAGGAATGAAGCAATTACAACAACAAAGAATGTATCTCCCCAGCAGCCCAGCCCACTTGCAGTTCACAGAGCCACTGCACAGCATTTGTCTGAGCTGCTTTCAGACTCCCCTTGGTTTGCCTCGCTAAGCCTTGGAGCTATTAAGATCCAGAACTTCCCGCTATTTGCCCGCCTGCCTGCATTTCCGCCGTCATGGCTAGGCTTCGCGAACGAAGATTTGGGAAGGCTCTATCCACATTTGCTACAGGCACGCTGGTGGCTTATGAGGCCAATACGTGACAGACATATCCGATTGCAAAAGGCACAGCAGAAAGACTCCTTAGGTGGTGTATTCTGCAATACACGGTTCTTTCTGCGTTGCCTTTTTTCCTCGAGGGTGATCCTGCGTGTGTTCTCAAAGGAGACAGCTGCGTTATAGATGGTGTGTCTCCAGGCCTCCCGGCTTGAGGCCAGAGTAGACCAGTTATGTTGATCAATATGGCCAAGGCTGAGATGTTGTTTCAGGGAGTCCTTGTATCTTCTCTTCGGGGCTCCTCTCATGCGGCAGCCAGTGGCAAGTTCACCATAAAGCAGGATCTTAGGGAGGCGGTGGTCCTTCATCCTTGAGACGTGCCCTGCCCAGCGCAGCTGCGTTCTCAGTAACATGGCCTCAATACTTGTGACAGCTGCTTGCTCTAGAACAGATGTATTGGTCACATAATCTGACCAGTGGATGTTTAGGATTGTACGGAGGCAGCGTTGATGGAAGCGTAGAGTGTAAGGAAACACAGGTGGTCGAGTCACCCGCGTGCCAGAGGATGGAGAGGGCTCACTCGGCCTTGCAGTCGTAATTCAAACACAGTTTTCCCGCTTCCGTGCCTAAGCACTACTTGACGGTGTTTATAGGTTTGGTTTGGGGTTTTGGTGGTTTGTTGCTTGGGTTTTTTTCAAATACTTCTGTCCGGCCGCGCCCGGGCGCCGCGGCGGCATTTGGGCCTCGGCGCGGCCCGTAGCGGTAGCGCCGCGCTCGGCTCGACATGGCGGCGTCCGGCGCGGGGGGCGGGAAGGCCCCGGGCCGCCTGTGGAGGTGAGAGCGGAGCGGGCCGGGCCGGGAGCAGGGCGGGACCGGCACCGAGCGCGGCTCGGCCCGGCAGACACCCGCGCGGGCACGGGGACCGCTGGCACAGAGCGGCGTCCCGGGGCGGCCCCCTGCGGGACCCGCGGCGCGGAGCCCGGTGCCGGCACTGACCTGCCCCGGCCGGGCCGGCCCCGCAGATGGAGCACTGCCGGGAGCGCTCCCCGCGCCCGGCACCGGCGATCCCGCTGTGGGCGCGGTGTGAACCTCTGGAAACTAACGGAGTTATTCATCGGGGGGTTAAGGCTGCTGTGTTGATATATTAGCTAAATACGGCTTTTTGTTTAAAAAAAAAGTCTTACAGAATTGCGTTAAAAAAAAAAAGTGCTAAAATGGAAGAATAAAGCTGTAGGTAACTGGGTTTAGTACTTCAGGTGGGCCTCACCTGGACCTAAGGTCAGCCGAAGATAAACTATTAAACCAACTTTGGGTTTTGGTACTTTTTTCAACTTTCTTAGACAAGTTAGGGTAAAAACTTTACATATAGGAAAGGTCTTAGATAATTTAATCTCTAAATCTGTGCTGAGACTCCAGGTTTTGCTTAAAATTATGTTTGCAAAAGTTGATAAATACTTAAAAGTGGGCGTCCACATTTTGTTTGGAATTTAAATGTGATTTGCTGAGATATGTAGCTCGTGTTCAACCCAAAACTTTAAGGCCATTAGTTTAAACAAAACAAACACCACCACTCCCCATGTCTTTGTGTAAACGGCCAAAGTATTAATTGAAATTACTAACACTTAAGTAGCTATGTTTGAGAGAATAAATCAGTTACTGAAACATTTCTTTAAAATTGAATTGCTGTCTTCTGTGTGTTTGGTAATAGCTGCGTGATGGGATGCGTTAATCATGAAAATGCACCTTTTCCTCTTCACCAAAAAGTTGACTGTGTATTTTGGTTAGAAAAATGCTAATGATTAATAGCGTGGTTTAGGTCTGCACATTTTTGCTAATTGTTTAGAAGGCGGAGCCAGGAAGAGGAGATTGCATTCACAGTCCAAGCTGTCATTTTGCAAATACGTTATGCTCAAGCAGCATTTGTCTTTCCTCAAGGAACAGATGTATTGCCCAGCCCAGCACCGAACGCAGCTTGTGGGGCAGCAGCAGAGGAGCTTCTCTGTCGTATTGCTCATGGTGTGATGGCAGCAAAAATCTGCTTGGCAGTTTTCTGTCACAGTAGCTGCTTGCCTGCAAGGGAGTTTGCTCGTGCTACCTATCCCACCAGAAAATAATTTATTGATCACAGCAAAATTTTAAGTGGTGTTAGATGGGATCTTCCGCCCTTTGCATATGAGAAAGGGCTCATTCCTACTTGCTTCTGTGGGGCTGTTGTCCAAATGAACGCATATAGTGTGAGCCCCTTGACTTGGAGGGGTTCCAGAAAGGCTCAGGAATCAAGATAAACAGGATGGCATGGCAGATGTTCTTCAGCATAGCAATAATCACGTCAGTGCTGTGGGTTGGAAGGAGATGGGAAATTGTTCCTCTATGTTCGTGGTTTGAACAAGAGAGAATTGGAGGCAGGGCATGTGTAGCAGTTGAAGTAAATGGTTTGAGTTGTCCATAAAGCAAATGTTGATTGTAGTGCAAGAGGCAGTGAGGCTGCAGACAGGGCTGTGAAACCTAAAGTATCATGACCTGGAATATGATAGCTAACAGGTCTGTTACCTGTATAATGTAAAAACAGATTAAAGGTTGAGAGGAACAGTAGGTAAAAGTAAGGGGAGAAACATTGTGAGATCTTGAATCCAGACAAGTCAGAATTAAGTTAATATTGATAAAATGCTAATAATAATGAAAACTGTAAAAATGCACAGTTGAGATCCAAAGAACTTTTAATGTGCAATAACTTCATGTAATAACCATTTGCTTTAAGTATATGGTATGTATTCTGTTTCAAGTAAACAGATTTTTAATGTATAGTTCTTCCAAGTAGTATCTTTAGTGTTGTTTAATGTTGTTTAATTAGATGTTTAATGTAATTTGAAAATATGTGTTACCAAATAAATAATTTAAGCAATAGAATGCCTTAGGCCTAGTCTGTCTTTATATCAATTATTTAAGCTGGATTTACACTAAGTGCCAGTCTTCCAATCTGCCAAAACTTACAAGCAAATCAGTCAATTCACTTTATCATTTGTTGTTTGCTGGTTTAAAAAATGAGAATTTAAAAATGAAGAGAGAATAAAGTCTAAGTTTTGAATTTCAGTTCCCCCAGATTTATAGATACAGGTAGTGAGCACTGAGTGTTCTTGGCCCGTTGGTTGCTCTGTCATGCCAGTAACTTCAGAAGTATCTGTAAAATGGAGAATTAGTTAATTACTTAAAATTGATAGAGGCTCCATTTTAAGTCTTCTTATGTGTTGGAGACTGTGCCCATAACATTACATAATTCCCATTAAAAATTCTACTGTCTGTTCCTATACTATATTAATAAGAAAATCATGTCAGTTAAATGGATCTGAGTAGGAGGTGCTTCTGTTGTAAATGTAATATTGATCCTGATAATTTTTTTTGCTTGCTTTTGGGGGAGGGGAGGAAGTGGCTTGAATAGGTGAAAATTAATGCTTTGATTTTACATTAGGAAAAATCTGAAAATCATGCCAGATCAGTTGATACATCTGTGTGTCCAGTTCCCTTTTGTGAAATGGAGATAAATGCTAATAACCTTTTCATTATTTACTGTGGGTTAAGCTCATTAACTGAGCGTGAAGTTCTTTTTGTAAATCCTGTAGTTATTTGACTGTTAAGAGGAAGTCTTGCAAAGCATACTGAAAATATTTAGTATAAAGTGAGAACTTACTGAATGTAACGGTGAAAGAAAACAGTGTTTTAGAACAATACTGAACTATTCTAGAAGGTAATGGCTATCATAGCAATATTTTGGATATTTTGGATATCCACGGATATCTCATATAGGTGCCTAATGGATGAGTTTTGTGGAAAACTGCACAGGTGAGATTTGTTTTCTACTCATTGAAATTATGAAGCAAGATTTATGCAGAACCCATTTTATATTGGTTTTAATAATGACCCCAGTTTGCATGACCTTTAACAACACACTTGCTTGATCATTTTATGTGTTAATTTAGATGTTTAACTCCTTGGTGAGAAAGGGCGTGTCATGTTTATGTTCCATGTTTTAATTATATTAAAAGGGATTATTTACCACTAAAACTTTTTTTAATTCTCTTCCAGGACTTTGAGGATTCTGGACCACTGTTACTGAAATGATACTACAGAAGGCAGCGATTGCATTGTATTTGTTGAATGAAACCCAAATATTTACTTTCAGTCAAGTGGGTGAAACCCCCTAACTGCAGTTTACATGTGTAGGTCACTGCGTTACTGTGTTAGTCATTGTCTCTATGCAGCAATGACAAGGCTGGAAGAAGCAAACAGGGAAGTGAACATGCACTCATCAGTCAGATACCTTGGCTATCTTGCCAGAATCAACCTGCTGGTTGCCATTTGCATGGGCCTTTATGTCAGATGGGAAAAAACTGCAGATGCACTGATTTTGGTAATATTTATTCTGGGGCTCTTTGTTCTTGGAATTGCCAGCATACTGTACTACTATTTTTCAATGGAAACAGCAAGTTTGAGTCTCTCCAATCTTTGGTTTGGTTTTTTGCTTGGCCTTCTCTGTTTTCTTAATAATTCTGCCTTCAAAACGGATGTGAAAGAAGAAGCTACTAAATATCTGCTCCTCTCTGCCATTGTTTTAAGGATATTATGTGCTTTGGTTGAGAGGATTTGTGGCTGTGTCCATCATCGACCGACTCTACTGACAACAGTTGAATTTTTAGAGCTAGTCGGATTTGCCATTGCCAGCACAACTATGCTGGTAGAAAAATCTATGAGTATTATTCTGTTGGTCATGGCTTTGGCCATGTTGATTATCGACTTACGTATGAAGTCTTTTTTGGCAATTCCGAATTTGGCAATTTTTGGAGCCATTGCATCCCTACTCTTTTTTCCATCACTGCAAATTCCCACAAACCCTTTTGCCTTGGCATGTTTCTTCAGCTGCCTGATTTCTGATCCCCTTCTCGACGTTTACTTCAGTGGACTTTCAGTTACTGAACGGTGGAAGCCCTACCTGTACCGTGGCAAAATTTGCAGAAGGCTTTCTGTCCTCTCAGTTGGAGTTGTTGAACTCACCTTTTTCATTCTTGCAGCCTTTAAACTACGTGATTTGGATCTCTGGTATTTTGTGATACCTGGTTTTTCTATTTTTGGAATTTTCTGGATGATCTGTCATGTGATTTTTTTTATAACTCTTTGGGGATTTCACACAAAACTAAATGACTGTCACAAGGTATACTACACCCACCGTGCAGAAAACAACAGCTTGGACAGAGTTATGGCATCTAAAGGAATGCGTCACTTCTGTTTGATTTCGGAACAGCTGGTGTTCTTCAGCCTGGTTGCGACTGCTGTTTTGGGGGCTGTCTCTTGGCAGGTAAGTAATTAGCTTGATCTTCCTCTTGAGAATATTCCTGAGAATTGTCGGCTCCCTAAAATTTCTAAAATTTGATGGTGTGCCGTGGCTCAGCAATTCAAAATTTGAACTCTTGGTTTCACCAGCATGCACTTCAAATTTAACACTGTGTGCTGCCTTGACTGTGACCTGTTAAGGCAAGTGGAAGAGTTAATGCTTCCAGGGGAGAAGAAGTGTGCAAAGTATCTTGCATTTAACTACTTACGAAATTATTTTGCTTTTGAATACATTGTGCCATAAAATTTGTTTTCAGAGTAAATCACTGTGTCAAACCCTAATAATGCTCACTATATCAAGAGCTTTTGTTGCAGACTATTTTAATTAGAGTTGTATTAAATAATGTCTTTTTCAATACTTTTGCTTTTTGTTTAACCAATTATGTGGACTCAGAGATCACCTGATAAACTGGTACATTGTTGGTGTAAGTGTGCTGTAATTGTCTCACTTTCAAGTCTGGTTATGTACCACAGGATATGTCCTCTGAAATACCAGTTCTTAAAATCACAGGGTCCTTTGACTTTTCTTTCCATGTATGAATTAAGGATGTTATCTTTTCTTTAGCAGAAAACATGTTTTGTTAAAAATATTTGTTCAATGCCCAAGTTGAGACACATGGTGTGTTGTCATAGTTGCAGCAGGGTGTTTGGAGTCTGTTTAAACCAAGACAACAATGATTTTTGTACCTATGTGTCTCTTATATGCGTTACAAACATATAATAATGTATAAAAATATCATTTACAGTAGATCCAATTTACAGAAATGTCTCTACAGTGTTTCCAAAACAATTTCCTGCCCATTCCTGCAGAATTTCTAGTCCTGCAGATTTTCTTAGATTAAATAACTTTGTGGATGAAAGGCGTTAAAGAAATTGGTGGAAGATGAAATTGACAGTTATTTTGTGAGGTTTTTTGTGTTGGTTTTTTGGTTTGCTTTGGGGTTTAGTTTTTTGCACAAAGAGCATTAGAGGTTAACAGACAAGCCTGCAAGGAACGCTGGGTAGTTTTGCTTTTCCTTTAGAAAAGTATCAGCACTCATAGCTGTGGTGTGTGGACTTGCAGAAAGGACAGAAGGAAATAGAACAAAAAAAGAAGAGAAAAAAAATCCCCAAAATGTACTTACAGAAAGTAAAGGTGCTGATGCACCTAAAGAAATGGGAAAGTGGTTTGGGAGACAGAAACAAAGATGGACTACCAGCATGCTGATGTTGCTAACTTCCATACTTTTTCTTCTGACAATTATGTGATTTTATCAAAATGCTAGACTTTAATTTTTATATACCAGTTGACTACTTTTCAGTAAAAATATTTTTACCATATTTATCAGATAGTCTTACTAATTTTTCTATCCTTACCCTTGGATGGAGTCACTCCACCTAGTTACACCTAACAAAGCAGTCAGAATAAATCAAGGGCTTAAGTTGTCCAGATAGTCTCTGGAAAGAGGCAGTTTCTCTTGGTGGTGCCCGGAGCCTGACTGCGGGGAGTTAGGTTTGGGCAGGATCTCCAGCTGTAACCCTTCGTGGGAAGGGCCCCCTCTCCCCCTGCCATCTGTTTAAAGCACACAGGTGCTTCCTTTAGAACTGCCTCATTGCTGCAAGCTGTTGGGGTAACCCAGGAGGATTGGATTCATACCCATCTTGTTAGTTTTTTCTTTTTGGAGTGGTTGATAATTTATTGTAATTTTTTTTCTGCCTCTGTTCTCTGACCCAGAATAACTGCAACTGTTATAACTGTTACTGTCTGATAATTTTTAGTTCTCTCTAATTCTGAAGAAGCGCAGTTGTGCTGTGGAATTACTTGTACATTACTTGTACAGTACCCAAGAAACAAACTGGTAATCCACCTAAAAATGTAGTGTTTGTTATTGGCTAATTTCAGTTTATAGCATCCTGTGTGTAAGTAAGATAAGCTCATCACCCTTGTTGAGAGGTTATGCATTTGCCTATTCAGTAAGAGAAGGAGTAATTGTAATGGTGAAAGTGCAAATACTTTCATTTGTCAGGAAATCCGGTTTTTTATTATAATAGCTTATTTTAGTAGATAATTGCATTTATCTTACTATATTTATATTTCTTTCACTGTGTATTATTAGTAATGAATTAGCCTAAGATTATGAATGCAGTTGCCCCAACTAAAAGCATTTCTACTTTAAAAGATGTTGTGATGTTCACCTTGTGGATGACTTGTGTCTATTTCATCTGTTACTGGAAAATGAAATATTTTATCAGATCTGCACAGAACGTAATTTAATAAATAGGTGTATCATTTATTATAGTGATTGCAGGAAGCTGTGGCCTTTTCTGTATTTTGCTGGATAGTGTCAGATTGCAAAATAATTAGAAATAAGAAAGCAATGATACATAAGCACACAATTTATCCTCTTACAGGGCATTTCCTTTTTTTTCTAGAGGTTTAACAAAACTAGGGGTTTTTTTTCCTCTTTCTAGGGGGAATTCAAGGCCTTAAAACTCCAAAATCCTTTGCTGGATTTTTGAGTCTCCTATTTTAGGAGGTCTAACAGGCTCAACAGTAATGCAGCAAACAAGCTTCTCCAGTGAATATATACTTTTCTAATGGTGATTTATATGTATTGTAATAATTAAGAGACAAATCAGACTGTTAGAGATAAATCTCTGCCTTTTCTATTGAAAAAAATTAATAGTTATTGCTGAATTCCTAATGGATTGGGATTTCAGGGTTTTGTTTGGTTTTTTTCTGTTTTTAAGAAAAATTGGCTGCAAGAAAAAACCTACTAGCATCACTATGTGGTAGAAAGAGATCTTAAATTCATTTCCATGAAAACATCAGCCTAATGTTTATTAGTGGTCAAAAAAGCAAATTAAATATTGGGAATTATTAGGAAAGGACTGGAGGTATCATTGTGCCACTGTATAAATCCGTAGCTTTCATATTTTGAATGAGTGTGCAGTTCTTACTTGCTTTCCTATAGATAAGAAAACAAGCAAAGGTTGTTGGAGGGTGATGAAATTCATTATAGACATGAAAGAGTTTACATGAGAGAAATGAATAAATAAGGGTGCTTCTGTCAGAAGAAAGCAGAACTAAGCGAGAATATGATGAATATATAAAACAGGTTTGATGTTGTAGAAGGTAAATAGTAAGAGACAATAACTTATCAATTTCAGTGCAAATGTTGAGGGGAGTCAGGTTGGCAAGAGTCAGGTTGGGGGAAATAGTTCCTCGTTCCGTGCTGAGTGAGCTCTGCCTCTGTGTATCTGTGTGTGCCCAGTGGCTACAGAGGCTCAGGAGAAAGCTGGACAAGCTCATGGAAGTAAATTAACTGAGGTTTGTGTACTATTTGGAAGTCACATCTGGCTCAGGAAGTCCTTGAGCCACCAGTGGTTAGAGTGCTTGGGAAACATGCTTGGTCTGTTCTTACGGTCTTTTCTAGGGGTCCATTTGACCTCCTTGGAGACCAGAGATTCTTGTAGCTGAACCTTTGGTGCAGACTAATACAGCCGCTCTTGCATTCTTGTATTAAGGAAATTCTTCTAACTTACATTTTCATCGTATTTTTTCCTTAGAGTTTCTTAGGAATGCCAATGATTCCTCAAGTTACCAGTTTTTGAAAATGTGTTTGCTCTTTTAAAAATTGTTTAAAGCATTTTTTTGTATAAGTAAGATTAACAATTTTCAGTCTTTGCAACATCAGTTTGGGATTTATGTATTATATTTGAAATCTGTTAAATATTACCTGGAAGGTGAAGCATTTTTTATTTATACCTTTCCTCACTCTGAAGATGTACTGAATAGTTGTTTTATGATACTGCATTTGATAAGAGAGATGGCTTGAAATCACTTCATGGTCTGCCGTTTGACCTCCTATATAATTAACAGATTTGGCTGAAAACCTGAGCCTTGGAAAGGTGCTTCCTAGCAGTCAGCTTTAAATAATTAGCAAAAGCATATTAAAAAAAAAAAATCTAAGTGAACCATGTGTGTTAGGTTACAGCCGGAAATGAAGTGGTGAGAGGAGGGGTTCTCTTTCATGGAAAGCTTCGTTACAAGCACATTATATATGCCCTCTTAACATTTCTAATAACTGTAATATCTGTGCTTCATATAACTCTCAAGTGTATGAAAGGTCAAGACCTAAGGAGCCAGTTGTCTGCTAATTGGTGCCTAGAAGTATTCTATTTGATTAAAATTGCCAGAAAAATATCAAATCTGCTTTCGTGGAAAGGTTTTTAAACTGAGGTCAATTAACTCACTGTAGCACAGACTGGTTTTCTGACTGATGCAGAGCTGTTGAGGCTGAAAGTCCTGTTAACCAAGGATCTTTCTTTAAGGGGAACATAGCTCTTGTAATGAGACAAGGGTTGAAAGTGTCTGTTCCTGGTGCTTTGGCATGTGCTTGGGAAGAACTCTAAAAGTAATTTGTCAAAGTTGGTTGCAACAAAAAGTGGAGTAACAGCTTATCTTTCAGTGGGACGTATTTCAGGTGGGGCATGGTCTGCTTCTGATAATAATCCCTGCTCTAGCTGCCGAGGAAAGACACTTTGCAATCTTGGTAGAAATACATGGACACTTTCCTTGCAAAATCTGCAGGAAGTGTTCAGCACCTGCCTTTACATTTGTGTGAGTAATTGCAGTCAAATCAATAGACTCTAGAGCGCCAACTTATTACAGTAATTAGTCATGTGCCTGTTCATAATTAGGCCCTTGGATGGGACAAGATCCAGCAGAAGTCATGCAAATGACTCAGACATTAGTTCTTTCAGAAGCCAGTAAAATGATGAAAAATTTGTAATGAAGATCTCGAAATTTGCAGGCAAAGATCTTGGAAAGATTTGGAGCACTCTTTTTCTCAGAAACTTATAATCAGATTTTGTTAAGTGCTCTAACTACAGGTTTTCTGAATTACTGGCCAAAGAAAATTATTATCCCTGGAAGACTTGTATTTAATATCACCGAGAGAAAAATGAACTATGTTAGAGACAGGTAATGTAATGTAATGAAGTACTTTCAGTACATTACTCTTGGTTTTAGTGAATTTTATGAGTTAAATGAGTAATTATTTTATGAGTAAAATAATAGTATTCATTATATGCTTGAATACTTAAATGGACAGTACCATTTAACTGTAATTATTTATGGGAGATAAATTAGTTTATCGTATGTAGGAGTACTCTCATGTTTTGGGGAGAGTTAGTGATTTTGTATTCTTTGTTCTGGTGTGGTTGCCTGGTGTTTCTTAAAAGCTAAATTTACAATGCCTTAATAAAATTTGAAGATGGTTATTTTTTTGAACTTCTCTAAAAACAAGATTATTTTCTGAATAGTAAGAGGTTTTCTCAGTAACATCTATATTTACTTGTACATATTTTTGTTAACATCACAGGTTAAATAACTTTTTGAATGCAAATCATACCCAGTCTTTGTTCTTCTTTTTATCCCTGCTTTTCTTCCTTGTATTTTTAATCCAGTCCTCCTCAGACTTTGCTTATTTGGGGGGGGGTGGGGGGGGTGGGGTGTGTTGGTTTGTTTGGTTTTTTTACCTACAGAGGTCCTGCTGCATCCTCTGGCCTCTTTCCAGATTTTCTCAAATAGCCATGCCACTCCTGTTTTTTTTTCCTCTCTGTCTGTCTGGTCATCTTTAGTTCCCCTCTTTCTTTTCATCACTGACAGTTTCTCCCCTCCTTGCCGATTTGACTGTGCTTTGCTGTTTCTTTATAGACTCGTCTTTTCAGTTTCTTTTATAATACCTTTATTCCCTCTTTCCCTACTGTTTGTAGGGATCCTAGCTGGATTCTAAGTTCCCCTTGCTCACTGCTTATCACTTCTTCTCAAACTCACCCTCTATCCTGTTAATTTTCACTGCCTGTCTTCCACTCTGTGATTTGCGCTCAGCCCTCATCTCTCTATCTCTCCAGTCCTGTCCCGAGGGCTCCCTCGGGTTACCTGCTCACATCTACAGTGACAGCACACTTTGGGGCAGTCACCACCACTTCCACATGCCCTCTGTCCTGAAGGGGGTCTCTGGTCACAAGAGAAAGAATGTATTCATTGTTAGTCTAAAGAGTCTGATCTATATATTAAGCTTGCTGTAAAAATCTCATTAATTTCAGGAACTACATTTTTGTATTTAAAAAAGCAGAAGTGCATTTAGTATGTTTTTAAACTGACAACCACTTGAGGTTTTGCTGAGACAAATGCACATAGATTAAAGCACAGGCTTCCCCATGTTAGAACAGGAGTCAGGGATGGAAAACAACACATTAAATCCATCTGCCAGTGAATGTGACAACTATTTTCTGCAAGCTGTTTTCTAGATTTTCCCACTGCTGTTTTAACAGTCAGAAGTAATTGTTTATTTATTGCTCTCCAGAGACTGTTCTCCCATTCAGTAACTTGTTATAAGACTGTTTCATCTGGTAGCTGATCTACTTTGTAGCTTTACAAATTTTGTCTTTGCACTTCTTTTTGCCTGTAATATACATATCTTGTCCTCATTTGAAATAAGCTATCCATCAAATATTTGTAGATTAGTTACCATGTTACTCTTTTTTCTCCTGAGCCTCCTCTGTCATAGAGTGTGTATTTCTTCGGTTTGTTTGGAAGGGTTTTTCTGTGTGTGTATAAAAACAGGTAAATATTATTCAGCTTGGATAATGGAAAGCAGAGCAGTATTTTTGCTTGGAAATGCACAAGGACATTTTTGTAAGCCTTTCAGTTGTTGGTCTGTCAGACATAATCCCAGGCAGCCTGCTGTAGGTCACCCTGCTTGAGTACCGTGTTGCACCAGACAATTTCCGGAGGCCCCTTCTAACCTCAGCCATTCGGTGATTCTGTGATCATCTTAGTTGATATATGTTTAGTGATTTATTTCTATTTTAAACAGAAGGGCTCTTCTATAGGTCTTGGTAACTGACTTCCAATTTAAATTAATGTGTTTTTTGGTTTTATTTGCTTTTTTCTTAACTATTTTTTTACACATCCAGAATTACATACAGTTCCAGAGTTGTGCTTCAAACAGTGGTTACTCTTTGGCATGGGAGTAGTTGTATCCATGAATGTAAAATTAATATCATAGCTGTAAAATACCTCTAAATTCTTGTGGTGTTTTAACAGTTACACTTAGCATTAAGCATTGCTCAAAAAACTAGAGAAAGTGGAAAGATAATACTACTAGTGAATCTCACCAATCTTTTATTCTTTGTCATTTCAGTCGTTAGAGGCAAGAAGTAGATTTTTTTCTTTTACCTTTTCTACATTATTTGAAATGAGACTACACTGTGTATTTATTTCCCTCAGAAGAAGACAGACAAGAAAACCCCTAAGACTAAGAGAAGAAATGATTTCTCATGTTTTTCTAGTGGGATTGCCTAGATGGTCCCTATCTTCTGTTTGCTTTTTGAACTGTCTGTCTTGAATCAATGGGCACTTAGAGTACAGGGATGTACTGCAGGCTCAGATTGCCAGTGCAATCAAAAACGGAATGAAAATGCGTTGAATAGATGAAAGAACAAAATCCCTTTTTGGCTCCATTTATGCATCCGTGGCCATCTGCTCCATTAAGGACCAGTCTTCAAATCTCTAGGATTTAATAAAGCATTGAGAGTCTCCACTTGGCATTTTAGCTCTTTGTCTTAAAGGAGTAACCTATCTTCAGTTTTACTGTAATTACTAAATTAGATATTATTTTTGCTATTTGAAGTTCTTATAGTTCAGGTATTTTAAAATGCCACCAGTCATTTTTTTTTGCAGCACTGAATTAAAATATTTTATTATCCTATTATAGAGCTGCTCTATTCATCATTAGTCATTTTTATACTTGTTAGTGACGTATTTTTTCGAAATCAAACTGTTGAAAAAGTGCTGACAGCAAGTGCCAGCATCTTTACATTAGATAGATGTCTATAAATGTAAAATATCCATACTAACAACATCTTCCTACTCCGTAGCATAAGATGGCCACTGAAAAACTACAAAGCTGAAACCTCAAATGGAGCTGAGTTGATTCATAACACTATAGAGCTTATTTCCCATTCCTGTTTGATATTTGGTACAAAGTCAAAGCAGGACACAGAGAAAGATGGATCACTAAGATGATCCATAGAGTTTCTGTGTGAGATCCTTATCCCAGGAGTCCTCGGGAACTCTCTTGCCAGTATCTTTGTATTAGTAGGAGTACTTTCGATGATTAACTGTAAATATTTTTAGTAGTCAGACACAGAGTGTCTGAGTTGGTTTAGGTGTCATTTTTTTCAGTATTATTCACTTTCCAAATTATTAATAGCTTTGACTATGTATTGAGTTGAACTACCAGTCCCTGTCTAATCACTGAGTGTTAAACAATAAGGCAATATCCAGATTTTTTAAAAACATTAATATTGTAAATTTATGCAGAGAGGGTGAATAAAACATAGAGAGGGTCAGAGACCACAGGACTCTTCTCAAGACAGAAATCTGTAGCTATGAATTTATTTCCTTTGCTGCATAACAAACATTAATATTTAACAAATGCATCATGAATATTTAAGTTCTTAGTTAATTATATATTATAATACTGTTTCTACCTTTCCTAAAATATTTAATGCTTCGTTAACCCATTCACATAATACTAAAATAATTTAAATTAATCTGTATCTGTTCTGCCTCTCAGTGACATCTGGCATTTTTTTGTAGAGAAGTGAGCTACGTATCAGTAAGAGTAATCTTTTCCAAAACTGCTTTTTCCCTACAAAACAGGAAAACTCCATATAGGTTATTAGCTCTATGAATGCTAAGAAGTCCTGTAGTGGATGTTCCTTCTCCTCTGGTATTTATGTAACTGATAATGGTCTTTTTAATTGAAATAATGTTCATGGATGTTCTCAGAAGTCATCTTTTGTGTGTTACATAGTGTTCCAGAAAGAATATTTTGAAAACTCATTGGTGTTAAAAAGCAAAAATATTTGAATGTATATTTTCAATGAACACAGAATCATAGAATGGTTTAGGTTGGAGAAGACCTCTAAGATCATCGAGGCCAGCTGTTAACCCAGACTGCCACCACTAAACCATGTCCTTAAGTGCCACATCTACATGTCTTTTGAATACCTCTAGGGATGGATGCAATATAGTGTGCTGTAATCTGATTCTAGGTACATAATATTGTGTGTTGTACCTTACTGATTAAGGCCTGACTCTGCAGATGTCTACAGATATACTTATTCTGTGCATATAAATAGTTTTGTGGCATTTGATTTTCTTGCCTGAATGGGTAAAACTAAGCTGTGATCACAGCTTTTACAGCTAAGTCTTGTGCTGTCAGTGTTTTCAAATGCATTCCTTTCAGAAGAGTGATCCCTGCTTACCAGCCACCTTTTCCCCAAGTCTTTTGTTTGTCTTTAGAGTACTTCACCATGTAATATGTGGAAAAATAAGTATACATTACAAATAATGTTTTGCATGTTTCAGGACCCAATTACGTGTGATCAAACACAGGGAACTATGGTTCATAAAACCATAACCAACAGACAGGAAGGATTTTTCATACAATGCCTAAATCTCTTTATTTTCTTTTTAGCCAGCCAATGGGATCTTCATGAGTGCGTTTCTCATTGTTTTACCTCTGGAGTCCATGGCTCATGGGCTTTTCCATGAGCTGGGAAACTGCTTAGGAGGAACGTGTGTTGGGTATGCTGTTGTGATTCCCACCAACTTTTGCAGGTATAGTTACTATGTATTTCAACTGCAGAGTATTGTAAGTGTACTGTTAAGTTGTGGAGGCAATGCAGTAATGTGGCTTGTATTTTTCAATAATTAAAAACAAATTTAAATAATAGGGAGATTTTCTATTTTTCTGTTTTTCTCATCTTCTGGAATGAGTAACTCCAACTCCCAAGTTTTTATATCTAATTAATTTGTTTTTAGAAAGCCTACGAATGCTCTTCAGACCAGTTGTGCATGGGCAGATTCCATAGCCCATGTCTCATGCAAAGGTGGATCAGGGCATTTGACTGAGTGCAGATATTTTACATGAGGAGATTTAATAAACCAAACAGATTAGTTCAAAACAATTTTGAATTCTGTTAAATGAGATGCCACCTACATTTAAAGGGCAATGAAATTAGATTTGTGAGTGAACTACATGTCAGGTCTTGGTATTGAGAATTTACAGCTGATTTTTATTCCAATGTAAATGTTACTGTGTGAGAAATGCTTGGGGCTGAAGGGATTGTACCATTATTATTTGCCATTTTGTATGTTTTTCTTATAAGCTTTAAACTTGCAAATGCTTCTTTAGCCATATAATTAAAATTGGTGTGGGCCCATTTGTTTTGTAAATGATAAAGAAGAGCTATGCAAATCATCTGTTTAAGTTACAAGAGAAACAGAGTAGTCAGTTGAAACAAGAGGCTTAAAAATAGAACTGCCCAATTTATGAAAACTGCCCAGTTTGAGTATGTGTAGTGGACTGGGAAAAAAATTACAGGCAGAGAAACCGAAGCTACTGTGCTAATCTTAGATCACTGTATCTTAAATAGTGTAAAAATCAAATTTTTTGAGCTTCTGATCTACAGCTGTGCACCCTTAAAAGAATCCATGTAGTCAGTTATTGTTAGGGATTAAAAAAATAAATGTTCAAAATTTGCATTACAATAAAAATAAAGTATTTTTGTTTCCATGGCAACAATATAATTATCTCATTGTTCTGGCTCTGGCAGTTACCTCTAATTTTGCATGAATGAGATACTCTTGAGCAACTGTTTAGGACTTGACAGAACTAAACTTCCTTATTAATAAAGCTTGCCTCTTTCAGTGATGGGCTCAGTTTTCACTTGCTGAGACAAACAGTAATGATGAGGTATTCAATGCAGCTGTAGTAGTGGAACATTAACTGTCATAAAAGCACTAGACAGGTAGGAGGTGCAAAATTGAATTAGCTAGACCAATGAAGAAACCAGGTGGCTTTACAAACTGGCTTGCAAACAGAATGCATGAAGAATACATACATACATACATACATACATACATACATACATACATACATACATACATACATACATAGAAAAAAACCCCCGTAAGTCATGTTTTGTATTATTAGAGTAAAATCGTGTTTTCAGCCACAAAACCTCTTGTCTAACTGAGCATAAATCAGGCCACTTTGGCACAGCTGTCAGTCACGCTCCTTATCAATACCCTTATTACATTGGCGAAGAGCGATGAATGCATTTCTTTTTATGAAAATACATTCCAAAAAGCGCTCCCATAATTGGGTGTCTTGGAGGGCCAAATCTCTTATTGTAACGATTAATGAATAGCTGTGTAGACCTAAAAAAAGTGTGTGTATTTTCACTATATATTTTATTCTATATTTTACGTACTATAAGTATTTGATTTTATATTTTATATATTTATCTATATTTTATATAGAATATACATATATTAATAGAAATAAAATGCATTTTGGAACCAAGGACTCTTTCTTCTTTTCTTACATATGCATATTCATAGGTATAGAGACACACACACACATACATGGTTTGTTCCAGGTCTAATTTTTAACTGTCTTAAAACTTTGATTTTCTAATCTGTGAACACTGTTATCTGAAATGCATTTCTTATGGTGAAAGAGCAGCATCTGAACAGCACACACAAGGAATAATTACTGTATATGTGCAAGTTCCATATTTCAAAATGTCTGAGCAAAATGTGTATTTGGATTTCTCTTTAGTCTATTATTGGAAACTAGTTTGCATTTGATGTTTTGTGCAGATTAGCACTCATTCTCCCTGTGCTTTTTTCCAGATGTAAGTGCTTTCGCGTAGACAGTGCTTCTCAGTGGGGCTTTATGAAATTGCTGGAACCTCCCCAGCATGTTCACATTGCAGCTTCTCTCTCTCTCCCTCTGTCTCTCAGCTGCTGGAATAGCACAGGGCTTAGTAAGGACTATGCTTTGAAGTGAAGTGTGACAGAAGGGAGATAGTGGTCCCTTACACAAATACAGTAATTTAGGTTGTTTATAAACTGTGCATTTAAAGTCAGTTTAAATTTAGAACAGTGCTACTTCATAGCAGAGAAAATATGCACAGGGGAAAAAAATCACCAATTGCTAAAAGCCCGCTAAGCATGAAATAATTATAAACCATAATCACAGCTGTTTTCTTTCTCTTTAGTCCTGATGGCCAACCAACTCTTCTTCCACCTGAGCACGTACAAGAGTTAAATCTGAGGTCTACTGGCATGCTTAATGCCATCCAAAGATTTTTTGCATATCACATGATTGAGACATATGGTTGTGACTACTCTACAAGCGGACTGACCTTTGATACTCTTCACTCCAAGATCAAGTCTTTTCTTGAACTTCGGACAGCAGATGGACCCAGACATGATACCTACATTCTGTATTACAGTGGTCACTCACATGGCACTGGTGAATGGGCACTGGCAGGTAACTAGTTTGGGGATTTTTTAATTAATAGTTTTGGTATTGATAGACTTTCCAAATCCATTCATTCTGTAAAAAATCATACTGTATTGCAAAACTTTGATGTTTTGGTCATACTTATTATTGCATTGTCATGCTTATTATTACATTGTCCAGAATGGCAAAGAACCATTAGTGTTCAGAGAACAGGTTTATATACAAGCTCCTGGCAGGGAAGGAAAAAAGGAAAGGGTAATACTACAGAGCATGACTGTTAAGAGACTAAGAGACAAAAAGGAGTTGAAAAAACTGGACAGGTTGTGGGCTGACTGATAGTGGAGAGAATGGAGAGATGCAGGCACCCCTTTTGTATGCAGTTGTTGAAAAGAAGCAGTTCTTTCCTTACCTTGCTTTGTATGACAGCCAGGTATGTTACTTCATGAACTTTGTCATTTTAGTATTCTTTTACTTTAATAAAAATCCTTTTGCAGCTAACTGATCTTTCAGTTGTTCTCAGAATTGTCTAAATATTGTTGACCCCAAAGGTATTCTTACAGGTTTAAACATGGTTTCATATTCTCCTGATTTTCATCCACATGATTTTCATATTCAACAAGTTAACTTTAAAGATCTGTTTCCCCCCTCCCCCATAAAATTTAAAGTGGAAATAACCTCCTGCTCTAAGGGCAGATTTTTCCCTGTATTTCGAGAATATTTATTCACTGTAATGAAAAACACGATCTTTTCTCATTCCTTGGACATGGCAGAATGTATTATGTAGTGTTCTGTGTCACTATGTTAGTTAGTCATGAAGTCCTTAAGATGTGCTTTGGGTTTTTTTGTAAAAGATAGAATCAATGACAGAAATAGGAGGCAGTTATACAGTCCACAGTAGAAAAGCAGGTCTTCGAACATATTTGCAAACCTTGTATTGTAAAAACAGCTATGATTTGCTGGTGTTCTAGACCTTGGGAGTGACTGTGGGCACAGGGCTTAAGACTATAAACCCTTATATAAAGGGCCAGTTCAATGCCCCGTCATATACTTGGCATAGACTTCACCATTTTCCATTTTCTTGGTCCATTTTTTATCTCTTTTTAATGGCCAGTTTTGTCTCAGCTCTGTTCTTCTGTACTGAAGTTGTTGAATCATTGGAAGGTTTAGCCTTGCTCTGCTGCTGTAGGGAACTGAGCTTCTGAGGTCACTGTGTGCAAAAAGTGAATCTCATAGTAAATCCATTGAAAATTTGCAACTGGGATAGAATTAATGCTCCTGGATAGCACTCTACCTGTGAGCTCCTGGCTGTTTGTCAGCAGTGTCTCCCCAGGTGCATGTGCTCTTCAACAGGTTAGACAGATATTAGTTTTGTGTGTGGTCATGCTGAGGTAGGTGTCCAAGCACAGGTCACTTTCCATCTGGAGGCTCTGTACCTGTTTTGGTAAAGCTCCACGGCTGAACCATTTGTTCTGCTGAACAGCAATGTCTACTTTTTTCTCAAAGGCTTCATCTGTATCAGATATTTTAAAAAGCCACAGTTGTACTGTGAGCCTAGCATGAGTGGTGAAGTGCAGTGTATGCCAGGGTGGCTGAATTACTTCTCTGGGAATAGGGTGGTTTGTCCATAAGAGCAGCTGCCACCCTGTGCAATTGCTGAGTGTGGAACAGGATAAGCAGCAAAACTCCAACTCCCACCTATGCTCCAGCCAGCAGCTTTCTAGCATATATAGAGCCAAACGTTTCTGCAAAATTTGGCAAGCTTCCAGCCCAGTCCTGGGTTATGTCTTGCCAGCCTGGAGTATGACAAGGTTGCTCAGGTGTCTCTGTACCTGTGTAGGTAGCAGTGGCCTATATTGAAATCTGTCTTCACTTTTAGGATGAGGGCCAAGGGGGCTGTTAAAAAGAAAGTTTAAGTGCTAAAAGATAGAGTGTAAATGCAGCGATGTTCAGGTTTCTGACAAAGCTCCTTTTCAGTTCCCTGTCCAAGCACATCTTCAGCTTCTACATAAAGGAGAGAACAGGCAGCTGTCACAGGTCTTGCATGCCTTTTTTGTGATTAATTTTAGTTAAATTGTGGAGTGATCTTCCTCAGATGGCACTACTTCTGCACATAACTTGGAATATAAACTTAAAAGATGAAGACTGCTTGACTCTGTAATTGTGCCCCATGTATTGGACAGTAGCATTTTGTGACAGATGGAACATTGGTCATCAGCTCCAGTACTGTGTACTATCCTCTGACCTGTGAAGAGGATGAGTAGAGATGGCAACAATTAAATAAAACATTCATATTTAAATGAAAAAGTAGTTTCTCACTGCCGCCCTATGCCATGATACAGCACAGCAGTAGCAGTGTACTCTTTGCTTTGTAATGACATCTTTCAAAGGAGGCTTACTGAATTTATTAATTCACTAATTATGTTTCTCTGTTGTTGGAAGCTGAGATGCAACACAGTGGTGTATAAAAGAAACTTAACTAGTCATGCATAAAGTATGAGCAGTAAAACGACCTGGGAGGTCATGTTCTCTGAGTGAAGGCAAAGGCATGAGCTGGGCTAATGAAGCTTTGTCTCTGTTGCTGGAACTGTCAGCTTAACTGTCAGCTGGCAGAACGTGCCAGAGAGCCAGAAGTGGCCAGAAGCCTGGATTCCTTACACAGCTTGCTGCTTAAATCTTGCCCTGGCTGATAGGTCCATGTGTTTGAGGTCAGTAGGGTTAGAAGCTGAGCATGTGTTTGCCTCTGTCTGTGAAGGATGAGATGGTTTTCTTTGGGTGATTCTATCCAGTGCTGTATTGAAATCACCTGCACTCCTGCATAGTTACACTAAAATAAAGTTTATTTATAAGCCTTTGAAATGTGAACAAATAAAGTAACTTTTACAGATAATTGATACAGAAGGTGGACCTAGAAAAGGGGAACTGCTTCTGTAAGTCTCTGCTGTAAGTAACTACAGCAGTTTGGGGATCATGTGCCAAGACAAACTGTAGGTTTGTATATTAGAGATTTTCTTTGGTACTAAATTTTCCAGGTTTGCACTTTTTTGGAGACAATTGCAGCCTGTAATTTTGCTTTTGCTTTAACTGAAATATCATGCACAATGCTTTAACTCTGAGCTATTAATTTGAAGCACGTTTTTTCACCCTTTACAGGTAGAAATGTAAGTGCTGAAATATGCAGTTAACAATGTTTAAACGCTGCTTAATTATATTCCACAGTGAAAATCACTCTGGAATTAAAATACAGTTATTCTAGATCACGTTTTTGTATCTTTCTTCTTCTTCGTTGTTTTTAAGTTGACATTTTCAAACTAGAGTATTTTTGTTGTAAATCTCCAACTGACCAAAACCTAGGCATACCAGTTCTTCACATTTAATATCACTGTGGAGCTAATGGATACTTATTCATTTGTTTGCAAGATATTGTCCTTAGACACTTCAATAAATAGTCTGCTTTTCAAAGCTACATAGATCCTGCAACGTCCATTACACTTAAGCAGAAGGACTCCCACTGTAGGTAACTTGTTTTAATTACAATCTCCTCTGTCAAAGCACTGTTGGAGCAACAGCTGAGATGGAACATGAGAAGTTGGACACTTTAGTTGCAAGGATCTTCTGGGCTGATAGGAAATAAATATTGTGGGAAAATTTCTGTGAGGTTTGTTTCACCAAGTTGTAAATCCATACCAATTTTCTTGAAGCTCTGAAAACAACTGTGTCTATAGAGAGAATCTCTTCATTTCTGGTCATGTGAGTTTTTGTGCCTGTAGGTGACTTTCTCATTGACATTCTTTCTTTGAAACTGTTAGCCTGTGTTTTGTTCTAAAGTTATCTCTTAGAGGAGCCTTTTTTTAGTTTTCATAAAGACATCTTAAAAAGAGTCCTTGTTCCTAAAATTATAAAGATTTAATACAAAATAAACTTCATTTCAGGTTTTCTTCCCTTGTTTATCTATTTCCAGATTTCTTCAGTAGACTGTGTTTTTTTTCACACTATGAGGGAATTGCCTTCCCCCCCCCCCCCTTGGGTGTTTGGGTTTTTTTCTAATCAAGGGTGAGCTCATGGTTTTATCTACCATGGCAAGTCAGATGGAAGCAGTTCACACTTCTCTAGAGATCTGCAACATTTACAACCAGAGAGGATCACTTGAAAGCGTGTTCTTATCTGTCCAAGTTGTTAAAGTAAGGAATTCTTCAGAGGTTTCTGTTTCTTTATCCTAATATTAAAGCTTTTTGTCCTTTTGGCAGGGGGTGATGCTTTACGACTTGACACGCTCTTGGAGTGGTGGAGAGAAAAGAACGGCACTTTTTGTTCTCGGCTGATCATCGTTTTAGACTGTGAGAACTCTCAGCCTTGGGTTAAAGAAGTAAGAAAAGTAAATGATCAGTATGTTGCCGTGCAAGGAGCAGAAATGGCCAGAGTTGTAGACATTGAGGAAGCAGACCCTCCACAGCTTGGTGACTTCACCAGGCAATGGGTTGAGTACAACTGTAACCCCGACAGCAACATCAGCTGGTCCGAAAAGGGACGTACTGTGAAAGCAGTGTACGGTGTGTCAAAGCACTGGAGCGACTACACTTTGCATTTGCCAACGGGAAGTGATGTTGCCAAACACTGGATGATATACTTCCCACGCATTACCTATCCACTAGTACATTTGGCAAACTGGTTTTGTGGTCTCAATCTGTTCTGGGTCTGTAAAGCGTGCTTTAGGTGCTTGAAAAGACTGAAAATGAGTTGGTTTCTTCCCACAGTGCTGGACACAGGACAGGGTTTCAAACTTGTCAAATCCTAATTAACAACCAAAGAGGAAATGAAGTGAGAGCTCTGGGAACTTTCTCACTGTACCATACTTAAAATTTTTTATCTTACTCTTTTTCTCTGAAAAAGTCTGCTACATTCACCTAATTCAGCTCTTTGAGCAGCTATACTATATGCAAGTTAGAAACTGCAATCTTAAACAGAAGATTATGATATTTTGAGTTTTCTTACAGGTCTGTATGTACATATATGAGACTTATTTAATATGACCGTGCATTCTGGAGACAGATCGCATGTTCCTATGGGTTTCTTAGAGTAGGCTTTGTTCAGAGACACAGTTTGATGGACAGGAGCTCCTGGGAATGTTACAGCACACTCATCTGTCATTATGTCCGCTATATAGTTCAAATATAGGAAAGGAGCCAAGCTAGTACTCCAGTCAATTTACATATCCTTGAAATTATGTGGGGGTATCAAGAGTATTACAAAACAGCACTGAGCCAAAAAGAAAAAAAAATAGCTACAGCAGAAGAATAGCTTAGTGTAGGTAAGTAGCTACCAAGAATGTTTAGTTTTACTAAACATTATATCTTCAGCCCAGCCTCAGTTCTCTACTGCCATCAGTGGAAATTTGCCATAGAAAACAGGGAAATCAGACAACCCTCTGATGTTCTGGTGCTGCTCATTGTTTGCTGAAGTGAGTTTTAAAAACATTCAGTGTTACTTCCAATATTCAATATCTTTGCTGCTGATCTTTGGATATATATTCGCAGTAGTTAATTCATATATGGAATACAAACTGCACTGAGCATTTTTCCCTTACCTGTTAGGGTGGTTTGGTCTTTTCCAGGCTCTTACTAGTCTGTACTTTGAAAAGCTACCCTGAAGAAAACAAAACAAAATAAAATCCAAGGAATTTAACAAAGAAAATAATCCATAGATAAAAAATGGAAATACAAGTGTTGCCTTGCTTCCGTGTTTATCTGAAGTCTTTGCTGTGCCTAAGACCATGATAATGTAAAATGCTGAGTACAGGGTTGGACCAATGAGTTCATTAACTATTAAAACCACAAGCAAAGTTTGTTGGAAGGAATGCATTATTCCCTTGGGAATCCTGAGTATTCCTTAAGTCTGTTCTCCGACCCATAAGGTCATAGTTTTAATCCTTCCACTTACAGAGCTGGATGGGACTCCAGAAATCCTGTCCTGGCCTTTCGTTCAGTTAGAGAAGCTGCATAGCTTTCTGATCTCATCTCTCAAGTACAGAACATAAGTAGTGAAACAACTAAGTGGCTGAAACAGTAATATTTGTGGTTTTTTATTTGCGTATGTCTGTGCAATTTACTAGACCTAGAGTTTACTTTTTTCTGTTTTCATCGGTATTTCAATAAAAATGTTAGGTACTAGCTGATACTTGTCTTAAATGTAACTTTTTTTAAATTTAAATACATGCAAATAGTATAATAGCTCTTTAAGTCTTTGCCATCGTGATTTTTTCTAATGCCATGTGAACTTTTTACCTAGCTAAGCTAGAGAATCTGGTGACAGTGATACCCATCATTAACTCCCAGAATAAATAATGAGATCTACAATAGCCAAAGCAATTTGCACGCACCAACTTCAAAATGGTGATTTTTTCAGAGTTACAAATGACAGCCACTAAGTTTCTTCATTACTCTATATTGCACGATGTTGTTTAGCAAGACACCACCCCACCATCCCTTTCCCTCTTTCCATCCCCTTCCATAATGTAAAAAGGGGATCTAGAAATGAGAGAAAAGAGATATCCTGTGAAGACTTAATGCCTTTGTGTCTTGTCTAATTAAGTGCTGTGATTGCAGTTCATAAGAGGTGGCTGTTCTCAGTAAGGACAGAGGGTACTTAACACCATCTAACTTCAGGTATCCAACTTAAGTTCCTAATGTGGGAGTGTGAGGTAGGAGTCATGTCATTTAATTTCAGGTGTCCAAAAGCCAGACATCTGAATCCATGCTAGTGACCCGAAGTGCTCCACTGCTCATTAACAAAGAGAAGTAAATATTTCCAGAGGAGGACCGATCTGATCTCTGTTTTAGGATGATTTTTCCTGTGATTATGCACATTACATTTGTTTTGGTTTCATGCACAGACAAATCCCATATGTCTCTTGAATAACTTTAGGGCACCTCTGTTCTAAGCTGTCCTGTGGAGCCTGGGCTGGGTACGTAAGCTCCTAATTCAAGCGCGAGTTGGATACAAGAATCTGTTGGGTTGCAGAAAAGCAGCACTGCCTCTTCCATTTTTGCTCAACAACCCTTGAGTACAGATGCATAAAGGCAGTCATTTGGTTTGTAAAATCTCCATTATTTTGACTGCTCTTTCAGGAAAAGTTCATCTGATTGCATTATAAACCATTACAACTTGAGCCTTAGAAATTTTTAATTAAGTCTCCATAAAGCAACATCCGATAGTCACCTTTTGAACATTTGAAGTCAAGAAGTTAGTCCTTTCTGTTTTGGACAAGCTTTGACTATCAACCATAACTCTCCCTACTAATTATAATGGACAGATCTTAATGGGTAAATCTCTACTTGCTACTGTTACATTTTCATGGACATCATCTGTATCTTTCTTTTGTACAACAAGGAGAACAGGAATGGTGTGGGACTGAGACTGTGAGTAGGATCCACTATGCAGTGTAGTGATGGGCTTAGCTTTGGGCAGAATAAACACAACAATTGGTGTTGCTCTTTTGCCTCTGGTTATTAAATGGTTTCCAGCTTACTTATCAAACTGTTAGATTTTTTTCTAGGAGAAACTGGGCTATCTTCAGCTGTTTGCTGAAAGTTAGATAAAGAGCCAGCTAAAAATGTGGCAAACATATTATTTGCAAAACTAATCATGTCTTTGCAGACTTGTTGCAGGTTTTGCAGTTAAAGACCTCTGATTTTCTGAATTTGAAATAGTTGTAACATGAGCTAATGTATTTCTACTTTTGATTTTGTTATTTTTTTAAACAACAAAGGCATGGTGAAAATGCTGATTTAAACTAAAAGAAATGTTTACAGCTATTTGAATTATGACACCGTTTTGTACAAAGAGACTGTCATGTATTTCAAAACACAGTAAAACCAAGGCTGTGGATGATGAGGAATTCAACCACGTTAGTTCTTCACTTCTACGCTGACTTACATCGAGGCATCCTACCATGACCAACATTCCCAGATGGAGCTTTTCTCCAGCTCCTCGTTCTCGTGCCTCTGCAGGTCTCTGCCCAGCCTGGGTGTGTGCCTGCAGGACAAACACCAGGAGCTCCTGTAATCTATGTGAGGAGTTATCCCTCTTCTCTTCCTTGTATAAAAGACAGGGGCAATGCCTGAAAGAGAAATTTAAATTTAATTCCAAAGAATGTTACATATTCTCTCAGTTCCATACAAGTTGTTTAGCGGTAGCGTGTACAAATTTCTAGGTAGAGAAAAATCTGAACCTTTTTTTCAAGAGGTTTGTCTCTCTATTGTATATTCAGACATTTTGTTATAAAGCTTGTTATAAATTTGTGTCACATTAGTAATTTTATGTTGACTTTGTTTCATTTACCTCCTCTGTATCAGCCTTGCTGAAACATGCAAATGTACTGAGTCCCATAGATTTAAGTCTTTTACAGGAACTCAAATTGCATATTCGCGGTAATATTTTTCTCTGAACAAGTATTGGGGGGAAAAAAGCCATTGTTCTTTGTTTTTGCACTACTAGAGTTATGTATTTGCAGTTCCTTATGCTTTATATGCCTTGTAGTTGTTGTCATCTAGTCTCTAGTTGAAGTTTTTCCCAGAAATAATGTTGTTTATTTTGTAAAGGCATAGTTAACACTATGCTGGCTGTAAAGCACCTTTGTTGCAAGCAGTAGACAATGAAACTGTGTTAATTTTCTTGTTTATAAATACCTTTTTGTGGGAGGATTTTTACTGGATATACAGTTTTTAGATCTGTAAATAGATTTTTGAGTGTATTTGTGATATTACTTAAATATATTTTGCTGGTTTGGATGCTCATTTCCATTTCATGTTTTTGTTTATGTCTTGATCACTTCCCAAATTTCTGTGCACCCTCCTGAATTCCATGAGGTTTTTCTATACAGCTTGTTTTAGGGACAGGATATTTTTAGCTAGAAATTGCAACAGAGTTTACTGAAAATACTCTAAGGATTATTTGTAGTTTACTGATTTAATAGAAATGAGAAATACTACTTGCAGTTATTAATACATTTCACCTTGTCATTTTTTTATCACTTATTCAACAAGCTAGTTAAAATACTGTTTATATTTTGACATTATTTTATAGAGACATAATTGAAGACTACATTTTACATGAGTATTTGTATTTAGTCAAACTCGTCTCCAGTAAGATCAAGGTTATGGAGGGTTCCTGTGTGAGTGGGATCAAACCTGGGAGATAAAGCAGAAGGAAGGTGTTGCTGCAGAATGGTGAGGAGGACAAATCTGCACATCTGCTCCTCACAGAAATTGCTGAGGAGGTTCTTGCACTCCATCCTCACAAAACAGTTCCAGCATTACTCTTAACAAGCCGGGACTTGTTATGTGAAGGCTTTGGTGGGAAGTGGACAAGCATTTACTGTGATGAGAGGTTGCAGGTATGTCGGTGGCAATCCAGTGTCCAGAGCTGCAGAGAAGGGCAGTGACCACGGGCAGAGCTTTCAGCACAATGACTAGCAGAGTACAATGATGATTTAGTGGCTCTTTTTTGTTGTTTTTTTAAACAGAAGGAATTTAATTTTGACTCTTTCTAATTCACGATTGAATCCATTAATTTTGCAGCTTAACAATCAGTGTTCTTTTCTTATTAAACTTCTTTAGGTCCTTTTCTGCTCAATTTCAAATTCAGAGGTAGCCCTATACAGCAGCACAGCTCACCCTCATTGCTGCCCTGCAGCTATTCTAAGTCTCTATAGAGTCAGACAACCCAAAAAACAGTTCTCCATCTGTGGCACTAGGTTTGGGATTTGGGGTAAACTTTTTTGGTTACCTAGGGAATAAAAGTCAGTTAAAATAGCCCTGTGAATGTTGAGAGAATGTTTCAACTTGGATGCTATTACACATACATTATTGTTGGAAAAGAAGTGTAGCAAAAATTTCAAGCACATTGATTTGGAGCAAGAAGGGCATTGATCAATGTTCAGCTGATTTCCATCGACTCTTGGACACATTGCCCACTACCAGTGTGGAGTGAAAAAACAAATACACTGTTACTGCTGGATTATACTGGAGACTGAAAAGCTGGATCCAATAGCAGTCCTCAGTATACAGAGCTCACCTTTAGAGACTCAGACCCAGAGTGAATACAACTTCCTTGCACAACCAGATGTGCACACCTTAGGTGTTTGTGAAGGGTTGGTCACCCTGCAGGCAGCAGTTGAACTATTTGGGATACTGAGTAGGAAGCTATTTCCTACAGGTCTGTGCAGCATCCAGCTGCTTACAACTGGTGACACAGAAATTTAAAATTTTACTCCTCAGCAGCACTAAATTATTTTCTTTATGTAGTAATTATATAGTCACTTCAAGGTGTTGTGAAACATTCTGGGCTCTGAACTCTGATACCACTCTGCATGGAGCTAAGGAACTGCAGTGCTGATGTTGATGGAGAAATACAGCCAGCTCTGCTCAGTACAGACAATTCTGTAGTTAATAGATGCTAAAATCACAGTGAACCTGACTTTGCTATCCCACAAATGCAAAGCCAGGCTACTCTAAGACAGTCTGTGTTGGGAATATAAAACAGAGAACTTGGCTTCCTTTGCAAATCGAAGAGAACAGCCTGATTTGGAGATTGGCAAGAGCCAGAAGAGAAGTAGAAACTTTTTGCAAAAAAAGTTTGCTTTATAAATAGTGTATAACGTCCCTAGATACCATAGTACTGACTACATTATAAATGCATAAGAGATCCATTAAGAGAGATGGGGAGGGGGAAAAAAACCTGACAAATTAGGTTTTTATAGCTGAAAGCCCTAAAGATTTCTTCTGCATTGCAAAAGAGTATAAAGATTTTTATCCTTAGACAAAGGTTACATCTTTTCTCAGGAAAGAAAGGGCAGAAGAAAAGGAAGAAAACAATGAAGGAAAAAAATGCCAAGAGGAAAAGTATTATGAAATAGGTCAGATTCAGCACTGTGGCCAGGGGAATGGGAATCACAGACCAAGAACTAGAGAGAGGCTTCAGAACTGGTCAGTTTTGTTTCTTATGGAGGCAACCTGTGTGTAACCTCAGGCCAGAAGTATGCTGTGGCCCATCCTAACAAAGGATGACCTGACAGGATAGGCAAGTTTCCATTCTGGGCATATGACCTGGCACCATCTAACGTCCTAAAGACGGCTTCTAAAAATGATTATATTTTGAATACAGTGCCTGAAACCAGGTGATGCTGCACAGCTACAACTGGCTGAGTAGTGGGGCTTTTTCAGTAGGAAGACAATAGTGTATGTTACCTCCCCTCAGGCACATTCTCACCGTGGTGTTTGTGCATGAAATGTGTGCTGCAGCACTGAAGAAGGTTCCCTGTCTGCTGCCGTTGCTGGTGAGGAAGATGGCTAAGACCAGGTCCCTGCACCTGTTTCATTTTTACTCTTGGATGAGTCTTCACATGCTTCTCTGGGTGAGGAAACATGGTACCTTCCAGGCTGAATTTGAAGCAGGTTTCTGATATCTAAAATTGCTCAGTAAAATAAATTGTTTAAAGATCGAACGTAAGAGGTTTGATGAATAAAGACAGAATACAGTCCTGGCATACACAAAGGAGGTATGTGAACTAGAGAAGAACAGAAAGGGGGACTGGAAAGGGAGCAGGAAGCCCTATAAAGGAACCACATCCTGAATGTCTTGCAACCAGATGTACCACAAGATTGCTTGATTTAGGGCAGGAAGTCAAATATTTTGTAATTCCTGCTTGTTTGGCTTAGGTGTATAAAAATAGTAAAACTAAGATAAGTACCAGAAAGGATTCAGATGATGGACCTGCAGCCTACCTCAGGTACAAATACAGAAAGGGCACAATGGGCCAGAGCCAGCATTCAGGAGTTTGCCTTTTTCTGAACAAGCCAGAACAGACTGGTTCTACCCACAGACAAGAGGAAGTAAGCTTCTGGATCAGCCTGCTCTCAATGCACAAAAATGTCTACATAAACATCAGAATTGGCCTGTTGGAGACTGGTGATAGATGTCTATGTCCTTCAAGCATTTCCAGTTCTGGGGCAAGCAATTTGTCCTGCTGAGGACACCAGGTTTAAACTCAGTAAGTGTGGGGCTCCTGGAAATCTACTCGGAGGCTTCTATGGCATATCATGAAATTGTATTACTTAGAGAAATTTCTCTGAAGGGGTCAAAAAATACCAGAACCCAACCATCTGAAAAACTAGTACTTTTCTAAAATTCACTGCTATGCGTCAGGTGCCCTATGGCTCTTTTGCATGCACTGGAGAGAAGGTTTGTTGGTCATTGCATGATGCTGGAGTACTGTTACTATAGTTCCTTTTCCAATTTTCTCTCCAGTTCTTCACTAAATTATCTTAATAGAGAGTTAAGCTGCAAGTCCTGCCAAAAGGTATTGCAGATGCTTCTATGGATTCAAGAGATCTAGGACCAATTCATTGGAGACAGCTGCACCGTGGGCTCTGAGACACAAAGCTAGTAGCCTAAGTTCAGGTCTGTTTCACCCATTCTTAAGGCTCATCCCATTTTTGGCCACTCTAAGAAACATGGAGTCAGACTGGATGGGGATCTGACCAGATCCAATGCAGCTGCTCTCATTTTACATCCTGCTTCCCCAGAAAGCCTGCAGCCCTCGTGTCTATGCAGCAAGCGAAGTGTGGAACGACCCCCAAGACCAGCACATTTGCTTGGTGGCTTCAAATGGTGTCTGCTTTGTGTCACCTCATGGCTGACAGGGCGTGAGACAACTGGCAGGGATCTGTTTGAAGATTCCAGGGTCTTTAAGATCAGTCAGTAAAATACCCCAGAACCATAAACTGTGAAACTATTTTCATCTCTAGGTCAATATCAGATTATAAGACAATCACTGTGTGACCCTGCATACCCAAAATTTGTCAGTGCTGATTGGACCTGTAATGTTAAAACTGAAGTAAGTACCCAAAAATAGCACTTGAAGGAGAGAACTCATTCCCTTCTCATTGTCTCTTTTCTTCTAGTTAGTAACTGCTCTTTATATTTGCAGCAATCCAAGGATGGTTTCAGTTGTGTTAGTTACAGTTTTGACATCTTCAGAATTTATAAAGCACTCAGCTTTAGACCACAAAAAGAAAATAAGTCAAAACCAGTCACAAAGCTGTCAGTTCACAGCTCATTCCAGTTCATGTGTCTTTCACTTTTCGTTTATGTGGTAGTATTTCCCACAGCAGAAATCTGCAGTCTGAGTGTAAAGCTCAAATACATCTATTCATCAGATTTACCCCAAACCCCACTCAGACTAAACCATTGTGAGAACAGCACCACCAGAGTAACTACTGAGCTTGCAGGAAGCAGAGTGAAAACATCACAGTGTTCTCATGGGAGCATCCTGTATCTGTACAGCTCTGGACACCCACATCAATGCTTCTGCCAATGTGTATATCCTGCAGTTTAAGAAACATTGGTTTATCTACTGACAAGTCAAAAGGAGATGTAACATACCTCAAACACTCCTGATTTTGTGAGATACATAGTAGGACCCAGCTGGCACTTTTCAACCAAACATTATCCTGCCACCCAAAGAAATTCAACTTGGCTTTTAGCCCTCTGTTCAGCTTTCCTTGACATACAGCAACATCTCTCTCCCTCACCTGAGCTGTGTGCAGCCTCACATGCATTGCACAGCAAACCTGCACCTTCAGATGTGTGTAGGGCTAGAGAAGAGCTGCCATCCTGAGAAATCATGTTGGTCATTTTCCTCCCTCCAGGAGAATGGGGGACCTGCCTCAGAGACTCCACCTACTATTGGTGCGTGGTGTGAAGGTGCAGTGCTGCCCCACACCCAGGGTTTCAA